AAAAAGGCCTTTTACGACGCTCATTGCGCGTCGTAAAAGGCTCAGACGACGCGCAAATGCGTGTCAAGGAAGGCCCTGTCATAAAGAGAGACGCTTGCGCATCGTCTACGACGCGCATTTACGACGCTCAATTTACGACGCGCGTTACGACACGCAATGCGTATCAAGGAAGGCCCTGTCATAAAGGAAGATAACACGCATTCGCGTGTCGTAACCTTACGATGCGCGTGTTAATGACACGCAATGCGTATCAAGAAAGCCCCTGTCAAGAAAGGCCATGTCATAAATGAAGATGACACACATTTTTGCGTATCGTAAATTTAAATGTTTAAAAAAAATAAATTTATATATTTATTAATTTTCATTTAATTTCTCATAATAGAAATAAAATACCATATACAAAAAATACAATCCATTGCATAATATAAAATAAAATTTCATACTCAAAAAATAAAATAAATTACACAAATTGTAATGTCATACAAAGAATCATTCAAATGTTAAACAAAAATAATACATTGCTAACATGGGTTATACATTCCTATAAAACTAACAAATAATCATACAACTCTATTTCTTACTGGAAAGGAATGTCAAACATGATTACAAGTCTCCCTTAATCTTGATTACTCACCTGCTTAAGTAGAATGTTGTTGTTGAGAAGGTTACCTAGCAACAGAGAAAAACACAACACCTCTCCCACAATCACAACATCATTTACAGAGAAAGGGTTGTCAATTACTTTCATTAAGACTTTCATTCAATCACAAAATATTAAATAAAAGGGTGAAACAGTAACTTACTTTTGATAAGTTGATCTCCCTTAGAGCAAACACAGCTAAAGCATTGAACAAGACCCTATTTCCCTCTTCTTTTAAAGTTTCCAGAATGTTTAGAATGCTCTCCTTACCTTGTTATTTCAAGTGTCAGGGGGAAAAAAAGTCCTCACTTTTGGTTCCCTATCAGATGCAGCATCAAGAACAGAGAACATGATCTCACCAAACATAATCAATAATCAGATTGAATTATATATTATGAGTAAGTAATAAAGTACATGTAACACAATAAAGTATTATTAAGGAACTTATGAGTTCAAATATTATTTTTTACACTCAGATGCCAAAATATTTTATGTTATTCTTCTACAAGTTGAGAACCAACTCAAACATGAAAGATAATAGTCCATCTGGCAACTTTTGATGACATGGCAAATGAAATTTCTCAGAGATAGAATAATACCTGTACTATTAAAATGATGGCAACCACAACAGGTGGGTCCAATAACTACAGCCAAAAACATGCCTTTAATCATGTCTGGAAAGAAAAGAAAGATTGTTTGCTGCAATCATAAATCCCATGTGTTACAAACTTATATCCAAATTTAAATTAAATAAAAAGAGAAAACTGTAAAAACAAATTATATCCAAGGTAATACACCATACAACAAAATAGCAAAGTCCATCAGTATTGTTACAAACCCATGAAGGAAGTGGAAGTTACTGGAAAAAAAAACATATGATTTGAGGCCAATTCTCCATTCTTCCTAATAAGATAAATTGAGAAGCATTTTTCAAAAAAAGCACCATTTTCTTAATTATTAGAACACATTAGGAAAGCTTTATACTCTTTGATTTAAGAAGCTAAGTAAACTAAAGAAATCCACAACAAAAAGAAACTATAAGAAATCCACAACAAAAAGATTTGAAACTTACCTGTCCAGTAAGAAGAGGGGTATCAGCAACAAGCTTGAAAGCAACAGCCTTGGAGTACGCACAGGCCAAGCCTGCAAATAAAAGGTGCATCAAGTATAAAAGAGAACAGGGAAACTGATATTAAAAACAAGAACTTTGATCATTAGAATAAAAGAGAGAGAGAAAAATAGAGAGGGAAGAAATGGAAGGAATGACTCATTCCATTCCATTCCATTCTATATTCCAACCTTTACCTTGTTTTATCATTATATCAGTTGTATCTGCACCTCTTTCATTTCCTGCAAGATTTATAAACGAAGAATGGCATGTGATCGTGAAGATTCCTCATTTGCATCTGTTGTCCCTGTGATTGTAAATTAGTAAAAGCATAATATAAAAAACTGAAGTAGAGAAGTGACTTGTGTACTTGATAATATATTTCTCATTTAGGCAAAACGGCTTGAAACAACCTGTTCTTCAATAGGAGTAACTTGACCAATGCAACGTTTTTTCCCAGATCCTGAAACCCAAGAACTGCTACCAAGCACACGTGCCTCCATGTCCAGTACTGCATCCATTTTTTCCTTCCAACCAAATTCATCCTTTACTCTACCATAAATTTCTAAAGTGTCTATTCTTGGTAAAGTTGATCTGTTGAAAGTTGTTCCTATGGAGATTGTAATTTCTTCATCAGCTAGAAGGGATTCTGCAACTATAAATGGGATGTCATACCATGACCTCATGCCTTCGTCTAGTTTTATAACTCTTTGGAAAATTGTTATCTCAGAGGGTATATGGTTTGCTAATGTGTTCCCCACAGGGACACGAAATCCAACCATTACTATGGTTGGATTCGAATTTGAAACTGTTACCTGGAATGGGAAAACACAAGGTATCAATCATGAATCAATACAAATAATTCAGGGACTTTTCTTTTTTCTTTTATTTTCCCATCAAGTCTTGTATGGTAAAGTGGCTGAATGGTTAGCAACTATAAAACAGCCCCTAAGACCAAATGACCATTTTACCCTTACATCCCAACAAACAGATTTCATAATCATCATCAATTTTAACATGAGAGAAGTTGGTGGAAAAAATATTAAGGGCAAGTAGGGGAAGGGTTGGTGTTTTGATACACTAAGCTGTCCAGATTAAGTGGTTAACCAAGAAAGCCCATCAAGTCAAACAAAAAAGTATGCCGACATGCGAAAGCCACGTTTCATCAGTACATTATTTAGGGAACCTTTTAATTATGCATTATCTCTAGAAAACCTTGATCATATTTATTGCATTTCAACTTTTATCGATCAAAGTCGATTATATCGAACGATAATTAACTTACACCTTATAAAAAAAAAGTTAATTGATGAATCAATTAAAATGCACTCTTTCTTGTTCGGCCCATACATTTTTACAAAAGAGTTTTTTTATTTTTATTTTTATTTTTAAATTATTATCACAAACGGATATTTTGTAGGAAATGACACGTAGATAGCCGACATTGCCAAATGTAAAAAGAAAGAAAGCAACGGGGATGAATCCAGTGGGATGGCAGTACGATTATACACCTGTAGAACACATATCAGACCCTAATCCAACAGGTGTGCCATTAGGTGTGCCGTTTATGGTAATATGAGTGATTGCAATACTATTATTCGAGGAGTACAAGCTTGTTCCATAGGTACCTGACATAACACAAGGTGACGTGGCATGATAGGATATTCCATTTCCTCCACAAAATCCATGTCATCAGAGGCCCCACCACCACCACCATCGTTTGCTTCCTCTACCTCGAATGCCTGTTCAAACCAAAACAATAATTTTACAAAGGGCATTTTCAGAATTTTAGTAAAAACTTACTTTCTTTCTAAATTGTAACTAACCTGGCAGACAAGTAGCTGTTTTTGGTATTGTACTTTGACACGCGTTCTTTTTAATTCAGTAACATAAGTTTTTATGCTTTGAATATTATCTTCACCTATTGTTTTAGACATCATTTGAATCTTTTTCAGATTTAGTTTGCTTTGTGCAGCAACAACAGGAGGAGTAGTAGTACTAATATTTTTGTCCCCTTCACTCTGTTGATTATATGGAGCCATGTTCTCACGCCCCCAACACAACTTCTTTAAGGGATCAAATTACTTTGAAATTGACCTTGATATTCATCGATTTAGTTACATAGCAAGAAAAGGATTGGATGCATTTCGTGAACGTCTAAAACACGGGATTATGAATCTCGGCTTAACAATTCAGGTAATCTAAATCTAATCATGAATTGTTGATGTACTTTCAAACTATTACAACTTTTTCCCTCCCTAATATTTTTTCTTGTTAAAAAAAGCATACAGGCTCAAAAACCAGAAGAATTACCCGAGAAAATTCTTTGCTGTTTGAGATTAAACAAGATTGACTTTGTCAATCAAGGTCAAATACCCACATTAGTCGCAGATGATCACAATTCCAATTCCTCTTGAAATCATTCTTCCTTCTTTTCTTTGGTAAAATGTTCCTGCCCACTGTAAGTACACAACTGCAATCCCAGTAAAAATTATTGTTTTTAGTTTCATTTTGTATTCTGGTATTTACCTCTATCAAAATATGAACGTTTGACTTTGTTGCACCTGGTCAATCATTATCAGATTCGTTCGTGGGAACCGAAGCCTGTTACAAAATAAAAATAGGAATAAATCATTACTAAATCATAAAAGTTAAAAGTTAAAAAGTTCTAATAACAATCAAGAACAAAATATCCCCACACTAAGAGCCAAATCTGTCATCAAGTTCTTTTGAAAGATCTCCATCAGACATGAAAAACTTTAGCAATTGTGCCCTTGAAGGATCCTTTATGATGTTGTCTATGATATCAACAGCTTTGGAGACTCCACATTCGTGTGTGTCTATGCACACACAAACACCATCTAGGAACTAGGACGACATTAGCTCAATGGTAAATTAATTAATATCTGTATATATATATATATATATATGTGTGTGTGTGTGTGTGTGTGTGTCTAACAGTTTAAAGTCTAAAGAAAATGACAAATTATCTTATGTTTCAGATGGTGATGCTTACTGTGTATGCGTTCTTATACGGGAGATTATATCTCTGTTTAAGTGGATTAGAAAAAGCTATTATGAAACAGCAAAGATGCAAGGAGATAAACCTTTGAAAGCAGCCATGGCTTCTCAATCTGTAGTTCAACTTGGTCTTTTAATGGCGTTACCGATGATTATGGAGATCGGACTCGAAAGAGGCTTCAGAACTGCACTCGGTGACCTAATAATCATGAACCTCCAGCTCTCCGCTATCTTCTTCACCTTCTCTCTTGGCACCAAACTTCACTATTTCGGTCGCACAATTCTCCACGGCGGTGCCAAATACAGAGCCACCTAACCATCTCAATGTGGTTCCTAGTCGTGTCGTGGCTGTTCGCCCCTTTTCTTTTCAACCGATCCGGATTTGAATCGCAGAAAATCGTTGAAGACTGGGACGACTGGTCAGCGTGGATCAGAAAACACGGTGGAATCGGTGTTCCGGCGAACAAAAGCTGGGAATCGTGGTGGGAGGAAGAACAGGACCACCTCCGATTAGGGCTTTTTCTAACAATTTCAACATCGAAGAAACAATGAAGAACAAGACCACCTCCGATTAGGGCTTTTTCTACTGCTACTTCTTCACCATCTTGTATTTTTTATGTATTTAGACTTGAGAGTATAATTAGGGCTTTTTCTAACAATTTCAACATCGAGTGGGAGATATGGTGGTTCCAGTAGGTAGAAGTGAGGGAAGAAGTAAGCAGCAGTCAATGTCGGGAGGGGGAAGGAAGGAGCATCTAGGGCAAGAGGGAAAGGAGAAAAAAAAGGAAGGCGGGATTTTTAATTTTTTCAGAATTTCATTTCCCCCTACTGTTAAAGGATGGAACGCGCGTTCCATTAAAAATTATAAAGCGACATCCTTAGACGACGTGCATTTTATTATAGGTGCCCTCCGTGTTTTTTTTTAGACACTAATTTAAGGGCGCGCAATAATGCGTGTCTTCTATCCTTAAATTTTTTGAAGAGATGACATTTTTCTAATGTCACTCTCCTTTGCGTAACATAGATCAATGAGCGTCGTATTTTGCGCGTCGTAAAAGGCCTTTTTTCTTGTAGTGGTTGCCCTCATAACCAAAAATATTTACAAATGATATTAGGAGAGAGAAGGATAATTTATTAAATTATTATATGATTAATAAATGAATTGGAAGTTGTGGGAAAATGGTTTATAAATATATTATATGATTAATATGTTAATTGGAAATAGTTGATTGATTTGTTAATTTATTATGTGATTAATAAATTAATATGAGATCAATAGTTAAATTATTTATGTGTTAATTTATATTGTTAATAAATTAATATGAAATAAATAATAATTAATTATTTGTTAATCAAAATTAATTTAAAATCAATTCGAGATTAACTGAAATTATTTAAAGGCGTATGTGGTAAATTGGAATTGTCCAATAGTTGAACAAAAGAAGTAATTCTAGAATCCTCTATGGTATAGACAGTTTTGGAGGGATTCCTAGGATTTTGGAAGCCTCCTGATTGTAGATACGGAAATGATTTGAAATGGGATTATATCTATTATTTAATCAATTCAAATATGGCTTCACCTATAAGTTGCCTAAACTATAAATAGGATCACTTAGGATCCAAGTTTCGTGCGTAGCGTTTCTAATAGGCTTATGAATGAAAACTCATTCCCCATCTCTTTCCTCTTCATTATTAGGTTTCTATGGTTTTGGGTGTAAGCCTTTAAAGGCATCATACTTTTGGTGCTAGCTTTCCAAGATCCACAAAGGAAGGGATTCAAGGAATTGTTTACTATACAAATTCAAATGCATGTAACGCTAGATCTACTAATTTTGATTATAGTAGGATTCTCGTAGGGTTCTCAATGTTTATAATATGTTTCTATTAATTTTGAAAATATAGATCCATATAGGTTGCATGCGCCCTTAAGTGTTAAGTGATTATTCTGCCTTCATATGTAGTTTTACAACCTATAAAACCCATCAGTTGTATCAAATCCTTGGTCTCATAATTTATTGTTGTTGGAGCACGAAAATGCTCTATAATGATGAGTGATTTATTACATTAGTGTATTCCCTTATATGAGAGCATATTCCCTCTACTAGTATATAAAGTGGAGGTCAGTGGTCATTTGTTTATGAGTGCACCTATGTAGACATAGATTAAACATTAATAGGGATAAGCGGGTGACGCTTAGTGAGTTTAATAACAGTTACAATATTACGTTATGTCACATATATATATATATATATATATATATATATATATATATATCAATGTGACATAAGCAAAGAGGGACAAAGAACAACAAAGACATATGTGTATGATATGACAGACTTTCCATATCAACAAATGATATGATTTAAAGATTTACAATCAATAAGATACAGCAATTTCAACATGATATACATCATAAAACTTCAGCCCAAGTAGCACAGAATGATACATTTTTGGATTATCATTTTGCTAGAATATACAGGCTTTTAGCCCTACTTAGCATTCTGCTAACACCAAAGTGATGCTTAGTCATTCACTTCATGGTCAAAGGTATAGCTTGATTATCATAATAACACTAGAAAGCACATTGCACATATAACACATAACAAACAATTGTCCCTATATTGAACTCATCGTGAAATAACCGAAGGATAAAATGATAATTTGGGTAGCACTTCATGTCTAAAAATGACTTATTACAAACAATTGTCCCTATATTGAACTCATCGTGAAATAACCGAAGGATAAAATGATAATTTGGGTAGCACTTCATGTCTAAAAATGACTTATTGTGATGAAATTGTGGATTTTTGTTGAAAACTGGCCTTGCGCGAGCAGAGTTTCAACTTGAAAATATTATTTTCTCGGGTCTCCGGTGCCTCAGGACTTGCTTCGGGTGTCGAGGATGTTTCCTAGGCTTCCGGGGGGGGGGGGTGTTAGCGTAATTTGACAGAGAATAGGGGTGTAAAAGTGAGAAAAATGTAAACTTAAATCGGAATCCTTCGATTTCTATTTATAGTAGGCTGAAAACTCTTTGTACGTTGGGTGTAACTCCATTACGCTGGGCGTATGCGTATGTAATCCTCGTACGCTGGGCATACTTGTTATGTGGCACCAGTTCTAGTTCGATTCTCGGGCCTCAGACGTGTCGCACCTGTATGATACGTGTCCATTGATTCTAGTATGTTGGGAGTACATACCTCATACGCTGGCCGTATAAATCTGTACGCTAAGCATACCACTTGTTACACTGGAATTTTTTTCCAACCTTGAAGTTTGTGCCTAAAACTTCAAAATTTTATATCTTTTACATACGAGCTCTGTTTTTTATGTTCTTTATATCCACGCGTAGGTAAAATTATGCTCTACAATTTTTGTTTAGACTCCATCGATTAAATTTGAATTCATTTTTCATATTATATTTTTAACAGGCCGAGACAGGATAAGTCCGTTAAAAATTCATAACTTTTTCATCCGACATCCGTTTTCGTCAGTCTCTTTACCGTTGAACTACTATTGACGAGATCTTCCATTCTTGTTTAGGTTGTATCATCTAAAAATTGCTCGATCTATAATTCGAATTTCGAGCTCAATACTGCTATGTTGATTCTTAGAAAAATCATAACTTCCTTATGCAAAATCAGATTTGGACGTTCTTTGTATGAAAGTTCTTGATTTAACGAATACTACAACATTCGTTTAGATCACTAAATCTAAAAAGTAGTAAAGTCACATTTTACGTCATACCACATCGTGTCGGTTCTGTAACAAAACTTCAATAAGTCATAACGTTTTCGTTATAACTCGGATTTCGATGAGGTTTTTGCCTAAGCGTTTCTAACGAGATAATTTACAACTTTCAATTTTTAACATGTTCGTTGATTTCGATAATTGACTTTTTGATCATAATCTTATAAGACTTCCCATCACTAATGGAATGATTCTAAACATAGTTTTACTTCAATTCTCGTAAAAACTATCTTGTTAGAACACAATGCTCAAAATCAATATTATATATTAATATTCACTTTTAAACTAACAAAACATGATAACTAAACATGTATGTTACACTCCTATTCAGTTACATCCTGCATCAAAGCAGTTCGAGCTCACTGATTCGATATTTGGGGGACAGAGGGGTCATACTTGTGGCAAGTGCGGAAAGGTTCATGGAGGTGCTTTCCGATCATCATCAGGGTGCCACAAATGTGACAAGGAGGGGCATTATGCCAAGGATTATCATCAACAGGCCCCTGTATAGAGTGTCAATATTTGTTATCATTGTGATTAGGAGGGCCATGTGAAGGTCCGGTGCTCATTACTTGTAGGTAGGCCAGTGTAGGCTCTAGCTCCAGCCACTCTAAGGATCACTGATGGATGCAAGGGTAGGGTGGAGCTTCAAAGAGCTCGAGGTCATGCTTTCCAACTCACTACAGAGGAGGGAAGGGCGGCGTCAGACGTCGTTACCAGTATGTTTCCATTTATTATTTTGTCAATTAATTTATGGTATGCTTATGTTTATGATTCTTCTAGGTACCTTCTTAATGAATTCCGTGCCTGCCCTTGTGCTTTTTAACTCGTGTGCGAGTCGGTCCTCTGTATCACGGTCTTTTTGGCCGGGTTTTGATATGACTCTTAGAGAGTTGGAGTGTCCTTTACAGGTTTCTGTCACCAACAAACATGGGATATCTGCATCGAGTGTTTACTAGGGTTGTGTCATAGAGATTTTTCGGGTGCCTTATCTGATTGATCTAATTCCTATCCACATGGGGCATGTGTTTGTGATAGTATGGATGGATTGGCTGAGCAGCTTTAGGGTTATCATTGACTGTGAAGGTTAACAACTGGTATTTCGAACCCTAAGTAAAGGAGAACTAGTTATTTTTGGACAGGGTATCAGGACTGGGTCCACCTTCTGTTCTGTTTCCAGGGCTCGGTAGTATATACAACATGGTTGTTTGGGCTATCTTACGTATGTTGTTGATGTTCACATTGGGAAGGAGGTTTCAGTTTTGGATGTACTTGTTCTTAGAGAGTTTACTAATGTGTTCCCGGAGGAGTTTCCTGGTGTTCCTCCTGAGAGCTAGGTTGAGTTAATGATTAATTTAGTTCCCGATATGGCTCCGATTGCCAAGGCACCGTACCAATTAGCACAACCTGATATGCAGGATTTGTCATCACAGCTTTAGGATCTGTTTGGCAATCAATTTATCAGATTGTGTAGTTCATAATGAGGAGCTTCAATTTTGTTCATCAAGAAGAACAATGATTTACACCGGATGTGCATTGATTACTGGGAATTGAACAAGTTGATGGTGA